CAAGTGTTGTATTGCTGTCAGGGTATACTGGGGTGGACATTTTGTTGTGGCAGGTATTTTAATGGAGGTTTTGGTTTTGTTCATCCCAGTTTGTCACATAGCAAGTTTAGGCAAAGGTAGATGGGAACAGAGTTTCTTCAGGCATCACTTCGGGGGGGGGGGGGGGGAGGGGCGAAGAAATGAAATTTATATAGAAAATATATACTTTTAACAGCGTCCCCCCCTCCCCCCCCCCCCCCCCCCCCGAAAATTTCAAGTGCTCCTCCCCCCCGGAGAAAAAAGTCTGGAAGAAACACTGGATGGGAACTTTTGGCAGCTGTGGGTGGGAACTTTAGTCGACAGTAGATTGGAACTTACAGTATATTGAGCCATACAAGATGACATTTGTAATTAACAATCGATGGATGCTTTACTAAACAGCAGTCGATTTTAGGTAGACCTTAACGGCAAATGACAACACTGAAACATGACATGCATAAAACCCAAGGCTGTTTGACTAGGGGAGGGGGCTGAACGGTGTCGTTACGTCACACACTGTTGTTTTATCTAGTCTGTGTCATTTAAAGAAACGAGGGGGGGGGGGTACAGGTTCTAAAATAACTTCTCGCTCTTCGCCACCTTTCTCTAGTACCTCTACCTTTCTTGACAAATCGGTGACAACTTTACTGCTAACCACTTGTGTAGATAATCCCTTATGTACTCTTCCACCCCTCCCCTTTACAATAACTTCATTAAACCTTTCATGTACCCCCCCCCCCCTCCACTATGTACTAAACCTTACCCCCACCCACGTGACAATGACAATGTGTCGACTGTATGTACAGAACGGGGACGAGAAGCGAGAATACCTCACTCAGAAGATCGGCGTCCCTCGTGTAAGCTTTTATACATTCATAGGCGATCTTTGGCTTCCTTTAGTGGGCTTTTGAACTTTTGTCTTCTCGGTTTTAAAAGGTTGTTATTACATTGTACACATGAGTTTTTTTAAAGGTTTTCCACTTTGTACAAATGGTTCTCGGTATTTAGGTTTTCTGCATTGTAGGCCTGTAGGAAAAAATGTGAAAATACTTTCTTTTTTAAAAAAGTTTCCATTTTTCACGACTTTTTGTGTGTAGCAAATATTTTTATATGTAAATATCTGTGGGGGCCGGGTATAGCATACAACGGAGTTTCCAATGCCTAGCCTACAAAGTTATTAGCTTATAGGTGTAAAAAAATTTAATTTAAAGAAAGAAGGAATTCAATGGAAATGTACGATGAAAAAAAAAATTCAAACGACCCTAGACGATGTCCAGTTTATAATGGCCCAAGTGTGGACCTTTTGATGGCCCGAAAAATCCCGTTTAAATATTGAAATATCATAACACAAGCCACACAAAAAAATTAAATACGTCAATCCGAGGGGTCATCCATAAATGACGTCACACTCGTAGGGGGGAGGGGGGTCCGTATTTTGTGACGATGTGTGATGAGAGGGAGGGGGGGGGGGTTCAGATGTTGCGACGTCGCATTTTTGCATTATAAAAAAGCAATGTTAGAAAACGAATTTTAGACGTTATTTCGCGTTTTAGATAACTGTTTTAATAAATTGTAATAGTTTAGACAAGATTTTGGAAAAATATCGATGTTTAAAAAAAATTCAACTGCAATTTTGAGGGGGGGGGGGTTGTAGGTTGAGGTGTGACGTCATTTTAAGGGGGGGGGGTCTGGCTTTTTGTGAGGACGTGTGACGGAGGGGAGGTAAAAATCGTCAAAAAAAGCGAACATAAAGCCTGGACTTAAAAATATAATCCTGTATGCTAGCTTAGCACAGTCTGTACGCAATCGCAACTCGCAGGCATGGTTTTATCTTTCTATTTTTAAATTTACTTTAAGGTTTGAACAAGATGGGACAAACGATTGCTGGATAAGTAATGCGGCTAGATCTTGTCATTGCATTATTTCAGTATTAAATCTTTTTTTCTTTTTCTTTTTTTTTTTTTAAATCTGAATTTAATTGCAAAGGCTTAGACAGTAGAGTGGCGCCCTTTTAAGATATTTGTTAAAATAACAATTTCCAACTGCTTACATACAAAGACACGTTACTAATATCGGTCTACTTCTGTACTTCTGCTGTTTACGTCATACCTGCTGGATATGGGCCTTCAACCACAGATCTTCACTGTACACTTGTAACCACCACAGCTCCACATAACCCAACCACCCACACAGCCACCCACACCACTATTACCACACACACCGCCACCAAACCACTCACACTACCACACAACTACCCACACCACTATTACCACACACACCGCCACCAAACCACTCACACCAACACACAACTTCCCACACCACCACCTAGTCTCATTCCAACTCTTCCACCATTTACAAATTATATTGGAGACCTGTTTTCTTCTGTCCTTGGGTTTTAAGCTAGTAACGAAGGTGAACTGCGTAAAGTCTGCCCATTAGAACCTCATATGTGTTTTCATACATTGAGCAGTCATTTCGTTACAGAAAACCTCGTACACGTCGTTTTACAGCATAGTGCACACATAATACAAGTTGCACGCAAGCTTTTACTCCTTAATGGGCATGTAGCTACAGATTCCCGAGAATCTGGTTTGAACAAGTTGCTTAATGTCCTTACATAGGCAGGTAGCTCTGCTAGCCACTCCCCCCCCCCCCCCCCCACCAAGCTCTCTTATCTTCCTGCAAGCGTGAGGCTGTGGACAAACCTAATGGGCCAACAAAGGCTTTAGCCCATTTAACTGGTGATTGAGTTTCATTAAACCAAAGCTAATGGGCTTTGTGTTTTAGTGAGGTTAGCATTCAACAATATGGAAGTCTACTTAAGAATGGTTGCAGTCTGATTACAGAGTAGGATGTAATTGATTGTTTACGTGAAATAATAACAGCCTTGTAAAATAACAAACTGAATTGTTATACACGCATCGTTAACTATCAATGATAGAGTTGAAGTTTTAATTCCTGAATAAACTTATTTTGTATCGTTGAGCACATCGCTGTGTAAAAATGTGTTACCCTTTCAGTCAATCTGTTGACGTAGGCGACTCATTATTTGTGTGACATCATACATAGCAAATGGTTGGTCAGCTCTATTGATCAGTCCTATGCCCAGCCGCCTTTACTTTACCTTCTGGTTAAATATCTAAATATCAAAGACTAATGTTATAGAGAAACATCACATTTACATTTGTGAAAGTTACTTTGTTGAACATTTGAACATAACGTCATTTGAACACTCAACTAATTATCAAAGACTAATGTTGGATAGAAACATCACATTCACACTTGTGCAAGTTACTTTGTTGAACTATTGAACATAACCACATTTGAACACTCAACTAAATATCAGAGACTAAGGCTGGAGAATTTGCATTCGTGTAACTTTCTTTTTCCAATCCTTGCACACAACCTAATATAACACGGAACTAAATCATAGACCAAAGACCTAAGGTGTGGGATATAATTGTCATTGACTACGAGGAAGTTGCCGGGGTTATTTTACTGATTTCTGTTACAGTATAGCTCTGTAGAATATGAACTGTATCATGGGGATTGTTGTCATTAACTTCATTATAAAAGGAAATAATTACAAAACCCCATTAACCTATTAACCATTTCTCCCTCCCGTCTATTTATAGTCCTGTCATGTGATATTCTTTTTTCCTCTATCACATGATAACATTAAATGTGAGATTTTTACTTGGTCAAGGCTGTTTTAACATTAAGTAGACGATAATAAAATAATACTTTTGAAAATCCCACATACAATTCTCAGTACTTTAAATAAGCTTGTTTAAAAGTGTAGCCAAGGAACAGTCGTTTAGCCAGACTTTGTTTTTTATGTCTTTGGGATCGTGGTTTAACATTTTGTTACGTTGTATTTAATATGTGATTATAAAGCGCTGGAGCTGTTCGTGATAAAAATGAAGCTAGCTGTTTCATATAAATTGATGTTGTTGCAATAATGTAATTTAAAAAAATCACAAACGTAGTCTCGTTTCTTTGTGTGTGTGTGTTTATTTTTCATGCAGTGCTACACCATTGATCCGACAGCCTGGAAACTTTGAGAAGTTGTTGAGTGCATTAATCAGAGAGGATTTCGGACAAAAAATAAATATATCGTAGGGGCGGCACCTCGGCGGTAGTGTTCTGTTGGGCGCCAGCGGCTGACTTAATACCTGGGGTCCGTTGATTGGGCGTCAATTGGGGGGGGGGGGGGTCAGGGATACTACTAGAATCAATGCTTCAACTACAACAGGGGCATCCTCTGTCGTTCCCCCCCCCCCCCCGGAGGTCGTGTGTCCCGGGCGCCCCGGTCTCCCCCTTGAGCACTATAGCACCTATATTCGTTTTGAAGAGGGAACTACACGAGGGATACGATGGGCTAATTTAAAATTGGAGCTAGATTTACGTAAGTAAATCTGATTTTCCTTAGATAAAAAAAACCCAACAATTTCTAAACACAAGGGAGGTAATACCGTCGCCTGACCTAGTTTGTTAATAACTATTAGATAAAGCTTTTGATCTACTTTTAAAGACTATCTTACATATTCTTAACAATGAATACTATTACTATTTTAAAAACCTTTTGAAATTGAGTTATTCTATATTCTCCATGGACTGCCAACAATTGTATCAATTTTCTTAATATTTCATAATATTTCTTCCTAAAATAAATAAAAGAAATTCTCTTTTATTCATGAAGGATTTATAATATTTCCTAATATATCATCATCTTTATACTACTTTTAAAAAGTTTTCCATATTATTTCAGTACTAAATCAAAGCATTTATTTTTTTTTAACAGAGGGAGTTGAGAGAGTCCAAGTTTCTTAATATTTCATAATATATTTTCTTAAAATAATAAAAGCAAGATTCAATTTTATTCATTATGAATTTATAATAATATTTCCTAATATATCATCTTCTTTAACAGTATTTTCCGCATTATTTCAGTTCTAAATAAAAACTATTTTTTTGAACAGAGGGAGTTGAGAGAGTCCAAGTTCAGCACAAACTACCTGGCCATACAGCAGTCACTAGAGGAGACCAGAGAACAGAGTGCCAGAGTCAAGCTAGTGGAGAACAAGCTTGAGGAGATCAAGAAGACCAGGGTATGTAGAACCCAATTGTCCTTCACTGTGGGGTTTACTTATACAGGTGTCAGAGTGTCCATAATTTTGTGGTCAAGTTTCCATCACTTGCATTAGTGATAAAGTATAAGTTTCTTAGTGTCTATAATTGAATAGTTTATTGTACATAAACAGTCATAAAACGTTCATAGTGTCTATCATTGAATAGATTAAGGACCACAACAGTTATAAAACTTTCACAGCATCCATCATTGAATAGATTAAGGATCACAATTTTGAAAACTTTCTCATTCTTTGTCCATCATTGAATAGATTTGGACCACACCAGTTATAAAAATTTTGTTATGTCCATCATTGAATAGTTTAAAGGACCACAACAATCATAAAACTCTCATAGTGTCTATTATTGTTTTTGAAATTGTGAATGGATTTGAAGTTTAAATATTAGTTTCTGATATTTTATTCTCGATAAATGCTTATCACATTTTATTATAGCTGAGTATTTGTATCTTCTTTTTTTGTTTTTTGCTAAAAAAAATGAATTGCATATTTAAATAAAACAAAGTTTTTAAAAGACCTAATTTTTTTCACTCTCCACCTGCTGTAAAAAAAAAAACTTAAGAAACAGATGTTATTACAAGAAGTGCTTTAACTGTGTTTGTTTTTACCCTATTCATGACAAAACAGATAATTCAAGTTAAATTAAATTGACTTTTAAACCAGATATTCTTTAATTGTGAATGATTTTTTCTCTATTCAGGGGCACACAAAAGATTTTGAAAATGCTGAGAGTGAACTTCTCTTGTCCCAGGTACAGAAAACATTTCCTCACTATTTGTTTTGTCTAGAGTTTCTGGTCTAGAGCACCACATAATTCAGCAATGAGCAAACATTGTAGAACTTGATAAGATCCTGTTTCAGTAGGATGTGTGTGAAAAATTGATGGGATAGCTGCTAATAGAGCTGTATGTTTGGCTTGTGGGTTTAGTATCATTTTTTAACATATATTCAGTATTAGCTAGAATCATTAAGTTGTTATGCAAGTTTTGATCAAGTTTCAATGCCATTTTTGGTAAAGTTTACTGAAGATTTAGTTATTAACATTACTTTGGGTCTAAATTGTTTTTTATGTCCTCAAAATGTAAACCAAGAACATTTTTCAGTTAAATTGTTTGTTTGGAAAATTTACAGTGTTTAAATAGACATTTGTGGTTTAGCGGTAGAGAGCTAAGCTAGACTGCTAATCCAGAAGTCTCGAGTTTGAATCCAGGTTTAAATCAGTAGAATGTCCCTGAGTCCGCCCAGCTCTGTTGGGTACCTAATTTACATTAGGGAAAACAAAGATGGCTGGGCATAGTGCTGACCACATTATCCCCTTGTATGCTGAGGTCATTGAAACCGATGAACTCTACTTCATCTACCTCATGTGTCTTTGGCACAAACAGGGAAAAGATGATGATGAAATAGACATTATGGTAGATAACTAACATTCTTTACATAGGCAGTTGGGTGGAAATATGGCATTTGGATATTATAATGATAGTTGCGTTATTCGTCACACAATACTGTAGTTACATAGTAGTGAATACAATCTGTAAACATAAATATTCTGTGGTACAGCAAGAGTAATCTTACTTCTTTTGTTGACACACGCTTTAGTCCCTCTATTTTATAACAAAAGTACCTATTTCAAATATGTCAGTACTTTGTTTTGTCATTTCTATTACCTTAGCTTTTGTGTTAAGTTTTAAGGTTATAGTGTTGTATTAGCATGGTGTTTATATTCTGCTGTAAAAATGCAAAGTTCCCTTTCAAACCTGACGGTACTCATCAGAGCTGAGCGGACTCAGGAACGTTCTACTGACTTGAACCTGTATTCGAAGTCGAGACTTTCGGATTAGTTGTCTATTGCTCTACTGCTAGGCCACACAGTTACTTATATTCTGTTATGCTGCCTGAAAATGATGTTAACTGATCTTTGTTGTGTTGTTGTTCTACAGGACCTTCACCTACAGAAGAAGAGATGTCTGGAGACACTGCTGTATATCTCAGAGGTGGAGACCACCTTTCAGGTGAGTTACCTGTTCACCTGGTTTAACACAGGTCTAAATACATGTCAGTTATCCTAGAATTATTGTGATCTTTTAAAAAACTGCCAGTTGATATTTTACAACTTACTACACAATCACATGACCATTTGTGCCCTCCACACTAATACCCACATCACCACAGTACTAACCACACTTCCATCCTACCAACCCACTACCACATTCACCACCACACTACCACCCACACCACAATACTACCACATGGAAAAATCTTATCATCAGCTATTAAACAAAAGCTCATTTGCAAAATGTAAATGATAATACTTCCCAAATCCTAATAAGATTAAATAAATTGTTTAAAATAAAAATTCCTAGAAGTAGCTTTAACCGAGGTGTTAAATTATTAATTAATGAACTCATTAATTATCCAGGTTTGTGCCTGCATGATTGTATCACAAGGCCACAGCCTGTCCTTACACCCCCCCCCCCCCTCCTCCACCCACCTTTCATGTTGCTTCACAGTTAATGTCAGCCTCCCTGCAATGTTAGAAAGTAATCAATACATGAGTTGTTTTGATGCAGTTGTATTGATATGTTTTTCACTTACTCATCCTATGTTAGATTACTTTTGGCTCTCTTTACTGTAATTCAATACTTCTTTCTTGTCATTTTTTTCTTGTTACCTTTGTGTTTCATTAAATGTTTATTTAATAAAATTACAAAAGAACATAAATGAACATAGTTTTTTTTATAGAATAATATTTATAAAAGAAAGTAATTTTTTTTTTTAAATGTACTTTTTTTTTTAGAAACAACATAATTTAATTGTGTATGTAGTCTGTGTTTAAAATGTTACAATCTGACCTCATGAAAATATAACACCCGGATTAGTCATGTTGACGTTTATAAAAACTAACCACCTGGTGACACCTGGTGCGTGGCTGCTACACACACAACTCTCATTTCACATCTGGGTCACTCTGACTCTTGTTTTGGTTTGCTTGGTGTTTTCTGTCTTTAAAAAAATACATTTTATGTTATAATTTTTTTTTATCCTAATGTACTATTTATATTTTAATGTCTTGTTTGCCTATCATGTACAATATCCCATTTCTTTTAGAACCCACATAGCCAACATTTCCTACTGTAAAACTACACCTTTTGCATAGATCATTGAACCATAGCTTTTAGCCCACCCCCAAGCACTAAGCCCACTCCTTGAGAACTAAGCCCATCAAACCCCAACCACTAAACCAGCACACTCAAAACACTAAGTCCATACCCCAAGCAGTAAGCCCACCTCCAAACTCTAAGCCCAATCAAAGTAAGCACACATCTCAAACACTAAATCCACCCTTAATCACCAAGCCCACATCCCAAGCACTAAACCCACACACTCAAAATATTCAAGCATTTAGCCCATTCAAAGTAAGCCCACATCTCAATCACTAAGCCCACTCTCCAAGCACCAAGCCCACCCTCCAAGCACCAAGCCCACCCTCCAAGCACCAAGCCCACTCTCCAAGCACCAAGCCCACTCTCCAAGCACCAAGCCCACCCCCCAAGCACTGAGCCCACACCCAAATAACTAAGCCCACTCTCAATCTCTAAAGCCCATACTTCAAAGATCAATCTTAACCCACTCCAACACTAAGCCCACAACTAAGCCCTCATCTGTTAAGCCACCCAGATGAGAGACCAGTTTCCTTATAATTTAACATTTCTCCAGAATGCTCAAGCAGACATTGAAGACAGAGCCCTGTACCTGAGTCAGAGACCTAAAGTTTTTGAGAGTGTTTACAGAGGACAAGACATTGACACACAAGCTCGGCTACACAGGGTTGGTATATCTTAACTTTCTGTAACTTAATTCACTTTATCTGTGGGAAATCATTGAGTGGATGCTATTTCTTGTTTGTTAATAAACTGAACACAACACTGAGTCAATAGTAAAAATACTTTGTTGTATAGTGTTGTATTAAAGTAATCATAGTATCACCAGGCAGGCATTAAAGGGAGAACTTCCTAGGAAAGAATAAAATAGGTGCACCATGAATCACCAGGCTGACATCTTAAAGTCTTAAAGATGGGAGCAGGACATTATCCCCCTCTCCCGGACATATTTCTCCCCCCCACCCCCCCCCCCCCCCACCACCCAGTTAGGGTCAGGGTAAGGGATAGATGTAGGTCTGTGGTGGTTTGGTGTTGTGGTCATGGTCAGGGTTCTTCAGGATGGGATGGGGCAATTAACAGGGGGATAATGACTCCAGGGGGTGATGTCAGGGGGGAAATGTCCTGGGGCAATTGATACTGGGGGTAATGTCCTGGACTCCTCATAGTTGGGCTACACCCTGAGTCAAATTGAAAAAAAAAAATGGCAAAGAACACAGGATATTTAGATCTTGGGTTGGCAGCCCATCCCCCCAGTAGGGGTGACGGGCAATGAATGAAGAGAAAAATGTTGTATTAAAGACTAAGCCTTTGTGTTAAATTATTTCTCTTCTCTCCCCCCTCTCCCCCATCCCCCCCTCCCCCCATGTTGACCACAGGACTGTGTTTATGCTGTGAGGGAAACCTGGACATGGCTACAGCTGCTGACCAAATGCTTGACCATACACACAGAAAATGCTGCTGGTTATCATCAGGTCTGTACCCGGTCTTTCACCCTCCACTCATCATTCAATTTTAGTTTTTAATTAATTAGCTTAAGCATAAGTAAAGTATGATATCATTGAGATTCAGAATCCATTACCCAAATGTTAACTTTCTGATGCGTTTGATAACAGCCTGTTATTCTTAAAAAAAAATTCTATATCATATTTGTAAAACGGAAAAAAAAAGGGTTTTGCCAGATAAATTGTATTTTAAATTATAAAATGTCTCCTGCAGTTCTACCATGATGTCCGGCATCTGGAGTCAGATATGGAGACCTTCCTCCAGTGGATGGACAGTCCGACGGTCAAGGCGCCAGTGAAAACATCTGACCCTGAAGTCATCCTGCAACAGTTTAGGGTAAGCTGCCTGTCAATCTTTTGTTTAATTATGTATCATCTGTCTAGTGTTTCAAAGTAGTTTGTTATGTTTTACTATTCTACAGCAAATATGATTTTCTTTAATTATATAAACTATGGCCATTATGGTAAAAAAAATCATGAAGAAAAACTGGCAATGTATTATGTAGCAATGTAAACAGGAAGTGATATTTCAACACCAAGGGTATTATGTGTATTATGTGTATTATGTGTATAATGTATTATGTGAAAATTTAATCAAAATTGTTTTGTGATTTGTTTACAGCATTTTATGAATACACTTTTGGAATACCAAGGCCGAGTTGAACGTCTGTCAGACAGAAGTAGGGAGGTTCACCCAATACATTACAGGAAACAGTTGCCAGATTGGCCTGTTAAAGCCAAAGTTCTAGTCAATTATCAACACAAAGAGGTTAGCCTTACCAAAATCTGGTCACAATATATACTATTCCATTTGATGTCTGAGATAAATCCTTTTTTTTTTTAGAATATATTAAATTATTTAATTACACATTTTTTGGTTTATTTTTATTTATTTTTTAGAAGTTAATAAGTTTTTAATTATGTTATTTCCTTTATTTTTTTATTAGGTTAATTTAGAGAAAGATGAAGTTTTAACTGTACTGGACAATTCTGATGCAGAAAAATGGAAAGTAAGGACGTCATTCTATCACTAATTAATTCAAAATTATTTTTTGCTTTACTAATTTTATTTAACTGCTTCTACTTTTTTGGTCATTGATTAACATATTTAAAAAAATGTTTTTTTTTAATCTGGCATATCTAGATTAGAACATCAAAAGGTACAGAGACAGAAGTTCCTGGCATAGTTTTAGTTATCCCTCCACCTGACCCCACCTGTTTTCAAGAGGTGACCAGGTAAGCTCTCTGCCCTTAAAAGATCACTTGTAGAATTATTTGTAAGAACTAATTAGCCATAGGCACATGCGTGTATAGCCTCCATTCGGACTGCAACATCCTATTAAAATCCTAAGTGTTAAAATACTGTCTTAAAACATAATTTAGCATTGAGGTTTAAGTATTGTCTAATGAAATACTAGTGAGGTGAACATGTGGGTATGGCTACTAATTAAAAACCTCATTATAGATAGATATAAGTGCACATTTTTTCTTAAGTTTGAATCACAATTTTTTAAAATTAAAATTATTGTTATTATTTAAAGTAAATTTTTAATACTCTCATGAAGTGGATTCTACTTGTTTTGTTCCAAATTTGTATATACTTTTGTGTTATATTGAATAATCATTATAATTTAAAAGGTGAATAGTTTAAAAGGTGAGGATTTATTTACATTGTGTTTGTTTCCAGATTGAGGGAGCAAATGCAAGTACACAACACAACAGTCTATGGCAGGCTGCGATCTCATCTTCTACAATTTTTGTCTATCATGGTAGCCCAGACACAGGCTAAAGAGGCAAGCGATTCGTTCATTTGTGCCCAGTTAATTAACACTCTCATGAAAAAAGTTAATTGATTACACTGATGACACAATTAACTTAACACACTAATGACATAATTAATTTAATAGACTCATCTCATCATTTTTCCCATTTTTGGCCAAGACATATGGGGCAGATAAAGTAGAGTTCATCAATTACCTCAGCATACAAGGAATACTGTGGTCAGCACAGACACATTAGTTTTCCTAACTTGAGTCAGGTACCCATTAGAGCTGGCTGGACTCGGGGATGACCCACAGACTCAAGCGTAGGAACCAAACTCAAGACTTTAGGGTTAGCAGTTGTAAGCTCTACAATCTAACCATGCCGTCCCACATATAACAGACTAATGACACAAATGTTGTGGGCAGTACCTCAAAGACATTAATTGTGGACATTTAATCAAACACTAAACGTGAACTCTACTCTTTCTACCCTAAGGACCTTTTGTTAAATAGAATACCTTGGGTTTTACAGCTTAACTTAAAACCAAAAATTTATAATGTTTTTGAATATTTAACTATTTACAAAATTAATAGTATGTATCTTTATTATAACGTAACACATTTAACAATTTTTATCTTTATGGTAATTTAACTATTAAGAAATTTAATCTTCATCTTTATTATAATTTAACTACTTTGCTGATGGATCAGATTGTTTATCATTTCAGCTTCAAGGTTTATCAGCCAAACAAAAAGCTGATTATATGAACATGATCAATGAAGCAACAACCATCTTACAAGGGACCTCATCATTGGTGGATCCTGAATACGAACACGTTAAAGGCAGCTTAGTTTCATTTCGCAAACTACTTAGTCAGATAAAGCCAGGTAAACAACACATTTAACAATATTTGTCTTTAGTTTATTACTTTAATAAAATTTTAATAAAGGCAGCTTAGTTTCATTCCGCAAACTACTTAGTCAGATAAAGCCAGGTAAATAAAGTTTGTCCTTATGAGGTGGCCTTTGGTTAAGTAAAAGAACTTGTAAAACTATAGTCTGTGACAAAATCCATGGTATATTTTATACATTGAATTTTAAGTGGCTGTCAATAAAGAGTAGGTGGTTTTTACCTGTTTAATAAAAGGGGGGGGGGGGGGGGGTAGCCCATCATTAAATGTAAAATGGTGCTGCATAATTAATTCAGTAGAGGGTGACAATTAATTAATCATCTTTTAATTAATGATGGTAGTGCATTTTTAATTCATTGGATAAAATAAACAGTATTTTTTTTAATGTGTGGATAAATCACATTGGCTGATGACTTCTCAAATTTCAGGTCAGAAAGATGTAAATAACCCAACAGTCCAGAAATGGAAAAAAACTGGAACAATCATTCGTCAACTCACTGTGAGTTATAGTCCAATTTTAACCTCATTATTTGTTTGAATTTTACAGTTATCTTTATTCGTCTTGGCAATAATAACTAGTTCTTTATCTGTTTTTTAGTTTAAGTATATCAATATTTTAGTGGTGAAAAAAAATCTTAACATATGCTACATATCACATATTAGAAATTTTTTTCACCAGTGTTTTTCAATAACCTTTTTATCTGTATTAGCGTATTCATCATGGTGTAAGCTAGATATTTGTTTTTTCACCTATTTATTTTTTCAGTTGGATGACTCAATCTGTGTGTATTAAATACTTTTGTGTGCTCCTCATGTAAGATGTAACCTATGAACTTTGAATATTTTATCCAGGAACTCCAAGCATATTCTCATCACTTCACTGAGGAATGTGACAAGAGGAACAATGAAGAGACAGTCCTCATTGCTGAACTCAAGCATGAAAATACCTACACATCGAAAGCTTACTTTCAAAGGTTTGTTTTTATTTATTTTTTATTACTTGTCATGTTCTTTTTTGTAGAACTCATCCATCAATTACAACACTTTTATAGCTTTCAAAATTTTGATTACCTGTACATTTAAAAAACTTAATTTGCTTACACATTGTCTATGTTGAGAGATTTTGTTTTGTTTACACTGTTATCAATAATATTTTATGGAACTTTTTATCCTGTCGTAGTTATTTATTTTATTTAATATTTGGTTAGGAAAACAAATTATAAAGATTTTAAAAAAAAAATGATTATTGTAAATTATTTCTGGTTTTTTTTTTTTTTTTTGGCTTTGTATCAAAATTTTTAACTTGAAATAGATTTTTAACTATTTTTATCTGTGAATGAAACTTTCAGAGTTATTCCAATAGTGGACATTGACACAATCACCCAAGAGACTAAAATGACCGGGTTCAAATCCGAGCTGTACATACACGAGCGCCACAGAGGCCACGCATCTCCCCAGCAGAAACTCGTCAAGCCGCAGCGCGGTCTGCAGGTCTTACAGGCCGAGGATGAGGTGGACTCTCCCATGACCTCGTCCATCAACCAAACCGTGTCCTCGTCTGTTAAAAACTTTTCCATCGGCGGCATCGTAGACCCCAGGACGAAACAGAAAATCAGCATTTCACAAGCCCTGTCCCGCGGGATCATTGATAAAGACACAGGGTTGTACAAAAACCCTGAGACTGGACTGTCCATTACCATCGCAGAGGCTATAGCTAAGGGACTTATCAGTGTAGAGTATGGGGACTCCCTCAGTAATGGAGGGTTAGGCGAGGGCAGTAACTCACTAGAGGCATTGAATTCTATGGAGACAAAAACGTTTGCCATCTCTGGGGTTGTGGATCCTAAAACAGGGGAGACTATCAGTGCTAAGGAGGCGATAGCTGCTGGGTTACTGGACCTTAAATCAGGTAATTTTTTTTAACTTTTTAGCGCAATTTCCATTCTGGAGAATTGCGTTTATTAACTCGTCATTTCTGGGAATGTATGGATGGATGAATGAATGGATGTATGAATGTGTGTCCGGGCTTTAAGTCGTATCTCCTCCTCAACGAAGCAATATCGATGACTAGTTACAAAAGCAATTATGTTAAGCAAGTTACGAGGATGAACATAGGCCATAAAAATTAAGGGTTTCTTTCATGGATTTCCCGGAAAAGCCAAAAAACATTAAAAAAAAGCAGTTTTTGGCTCATATCTCGGCAACCAGACCACTTAGCGACTTGAAACATGTACCAATCGATTTCTGCCATAATTTAGAACAATATTGCCGAAGAAAGTTTTCAAAAATATCCTTTCGTTCGGTCACAAACAATTTTTTAATTAATTAAAATTTGGACTGAATTAGTAGCCATTTTTTTCCAACCACACCTTACACGTCATCACGTTCAATAGCTGCGCCATCACGTTCAATGGCTGCGTCATCACGTTCAGTAGCTAGGCGCGCAATGGTTTTTAGTCATGTAACTCTATTGTAAATAAAACATGTATTTTAACCAATGGTTTTACTAAACCTGCTCTTGATTTACACTACGACAGAGCTATTTTTAGATAACATAAGGAAATTGCGCTAGAATTGTCACTAGACTTTTTAATTACCTTGTTTATAGATCAATCAGTACAAATGTTTCAAACAAAAAGAGTTTTTGAAAGTGAAACTATCTTCTGTATGATAAAGGTATTGACATTTTAAAGTTAAAAGCCACAGGCTTTGTTACTCTCTTTGTAATTTAATATTTTTCACTTTTTTAAATCTGTGTAGAAAGAACTTTGTACCCTTGCTACCACATGAATTGAGAACCACTTGTGTATTCCATTAAATATGATGGGCCATTTATTTATTAAATTTTGCTCCAAAAGAAATTAAATGCCTTCTCTATGCTTTCTCCACAGTTTTTATGTATACAGGTTTTGAAATTTGTCATAAATATACTGTTCTTAATTTTTATTAACTAATTCTATATTTTTTAGGCAAGTTCCATAATCCAGTGACGGGCGAAGAATTATCTATCTTTGAAGCTGTTAGGGCTGGTTACCTAATGGCAGACCCATCCCTGCTGGTTGAAGACCAGGCTGATGGACCCTCATATCGCAGCTTCACGTCCATTGTTCTAGAAGACGTCAAGTACAAAGTCTCAGGGGTTGTTGACCCCACCACTGGCCAGGAGATCTCTCTCAAGCAAGCCATCAGAGACGGGATCATTGACCCCGTGCTGGGGGTTTTCAAAAAACCCCAGACAGGGGAGGTTATTTCACTGGAGGAAGCAATGAAACGTGGTTACATCAAGGGGAGAGAGTTTGATCCCCTGAAAGACAAGGAGGATGACAGTGTGTTGGCCTACCAGCAGCTACAGGTGAGGAAACAGACCTTCAATGCTGGAGAGCCGGGCCTGGTCAATGGTGAGGTCAACAAACTGACCCCGAATGATATTCTTTTAGACAAGTTAAGGGAAAATCTCAACGTGGCAAAGGTCATGGTCGTTGATCCTAAAACCGGTAAACCCGTATCGTTTGAAGAAGCTGTAGAAAACGGGTTTTTAAATTTGACAGACGGAAGTTTCCAGACTCAGAAGGGTGATACGATCAGCCTGCTAGAAGCTTGCGCTCAGGGATGTTTAGAGCCCGGTGTGTTAAAAGAAATCATGAAGATGTACCAAGATGCCAGTTTGGCCAGTCTTATAAACAACGGCCAGTTTGACCCTGAGACCAGCCTGGTTACGGATTTAAACAGCGGCAAAGTTTTCACTCTCCAAGCTGCCATACAGAACGACACCATCAACCCTGACCAGGTGTTCTTTTACGACCTGGCACAGAACAGAGTGTTAAGCTTGAGCCAGGCGGTTAAATCTGGTCGTATGGACGAAGTATCTGGTAAAATCATCAAAACTAAAACTGGTGAGAGGTTAAGCATTACCCAGGCTGAAACATGCCGGCAGATCGATGCAGAAATTAACGCTGATGAGATTGTTCAAAGAGCTGAGAGTCTGGCTTTACTGAGGAATAATATGGACACTAGCATCAGAGGAATCAAAATTCCACATGTTAGCGAAACCGCCTCAGTGGAGGAGGCGGTGATTCTCGGTGCGCTTCAGGTACAAAAAGCTGCATACGTTGATGAGCAGACGGTCGGAGTTGTACCCCTTCAGCTCTCAGTTCAGATGGAACGAGTGGAACCCAAAGTCGCCTTAGCTCTTTTTTCAGCTTTCGATAAACATTCGTTAGAGGAGGCGATACTAAAGGGTGCGTTTGATCCTAAATCTGGGAAATTTATTCATCCGAAAACTAAAGAGAAAGTTAGCTTGGATGAAGCAAAGGAATCCGGGGCCTGTAATCCATATTTCGTTTATCTTGTGGATCAGGAGACTGGAAATATTACCTCCCTTGGTGCAATGGCCGACAAAGGCAAGTTTGACCCTGTGTCAGGCTGCTATAACAGTGACACAACAAATCATTCTATGAGTGTCAGCGACGCCATAGCCCAAGGGTTGATCACCCCCCGCATCGAACCAGAGCGCTACGTCGACCTGTCGTCCTCTCTCAAAGATTTGATTGACGCCGGCAAAGTCAACCCCAGGTCTACGGAGTTTGTGGCCGCCAATGGCCTGAGGATGTCCCTGAGGGACGCTTTGGCCAATGGCTTCCTGATCATGGGGTCGAAGGTCAAGGTGGACCCAGACACCGGGGATGTGTACCTGGTCTCGGATGAGGCCGTGGTCCACTCACTTATTGAGGTAAGCCTGGCTGATCAGAAGTTCTTACAACTATTTTATTTTTAATGTTCACATACAAATAACTCATTGACCTTTTAAAAATTATTGTTTCTCAACCACAAGATTTTGCATACATCTATTTCATTTTTATATAAATACATTTTTTTAAATTAAAAGAATATATATATATATATATATATATATATATATATATATATATGTATATATATATATATATATATATATGTATATATATATATATATATATATATAGGCCTATGTATATACATATATCTATCTATATATATGTATATATACATACACACACATACATACACATATATGGTATAAAAATACTTAATATTCATTGTTTTCATACTGACGTTACAATTATACATAAATGATGAAAAAATTTGAATCGGCTACAGGTCAAGGAACAATCTGATTGGTTATCTGATGTAACCAAAGCTTTAGCCAGTCAGGGCCGACCCAGTGAAAAAATGGACAGGCTTAGGAGGCAAACAGATGACTGTTTGGTAAGATTTTGATTGTGTTATGATTTATGCTAATTATGACTTAAAGATTTGCCATGGCAATTTTTTTTCTCAATGTATAAATCTTACATATTTTAAGTCTTAACTTTTACTATGGAAAAAATAATGCTCATATTCTTAGTGAATATAATCAGAAATTATTAAAATGGTTTCTTAAAAACAAAAAATCTCCTGGAATTAATGTTATTTTCAATGTTTAATTTACTATCTCTGGGCCAAATGGAAATATTTTTTTCAAATAACTCTTCTAGTTACTTCAAGCTAGTATATAAATTGACTGTGACTAAATGGGAGCTAATTGTTGCAGGATTTGAAAGAAGAGATCAGCAGAAAGGAACCAGAGCTCAAATCTGTCATCACCCAGGCTGAGCAGCTGGTGCAGGAGAATGCCAAAGGTCAAGGCCAGAACCAAATCAAAGATGAGATAACCCAGCAGTTCCAGAAACTCAAGTCCAGCGCCACTGACCTCAAAGTTCGCTTTGACATGGTAGGTTCCTGTTTCTTTGGTCTCTTCTTCTTTTAGTCTCTTCTTCTTTGGTCCCTTCTTCTTCTTCTGTGTTCCTTCTTCTTTTATCTTTGAGTTGAGGTGGACTGTTTGATATAATTTATTTATCTTCTAGCCTGGTCTTGAGTTCAGATCCAGGATTTGAGTCTGATGTCGATGGGGCCAGCGTGGTCGAGTCTGTAAAGCTCATGGTTGCTAAACCGAAAAGTCTCGAGTTCGAACCCTCGGGCAGATGAGGCTCGTTAGCTGGGGACAGCCACTCTTCTAGGAGAGACAACTCCAAAATCAAACAACTACTGCCTTTTAGTTTGTTCTTGGTTGGACAAAGGCTATGGAAGCAAATCCAAAAAGAAAAGCAGGCTGAAATCGGAGTCAATGGCCTCAATGGCGCAAAACCAGTTGACACGTAATCCTTAATTGTGATGGAAGCATGGTCGAGTTGGCAATGCTCATGGTTGATAAATTCGAACAAAGTCTCGAGTTTAAACCCTCTGGCAGATAAGGCTCGATCCCTCCCAACACTAAAAATTAAGAACGAAGAAGGAGAAGAAGAAGTCTGATGTCCACCCAGCTCTGATGGGTACTTGATTTACTTTAGGGGAAATAAAGCTACCAGGTCATAGAACTGACAACAAAAACAGCTCTACTTCATCTACTCTATGCCTGGTCTGAAATGGTAAAAAAAAGTAAAGTTCCCTTTTTTAACCTGACGGTCCATGGGGCAAGTGAAGTAGATTTCACCTGTTTCTGTGACCTCGCATATGAAGGGATTGTGTGGTCAGCACTATGTTCAGCCGCCTTTACTTTCCCTAAGATGAGTCAGGTACCCATCTAAAACTTACTTAATTTTTGTTCCAGGTAAGCTCCGAGGCTGACAGCAGGAGCCAGAAGCTGATAGTGATGGGCAGGAACCTGGAGGAGCTGTACCACCAGATGGAGGACATTGACCAGTGGCTGGACCAGGCCATAGAGAAGACACAGGACCTGCAGTCAGAGAACACAGACGTCGAGACGCAGTACGCCACGTTTAAGGTCAGATAATTTTCCTCAAAGTTGGGGTTATCTCTTTGTTGGGGTTCACTTTTGGGTTCATCTTTACTTTTGGGGAATCACTGTGATGTTCTGTTTGTTGGGGGATTATTGTTCTGTGTCACCTTCTGTTCGTTACGGGAGGGGAATTTCTTTTGGTGGTCATCTTCTTATTGTTGTAAGTACACTTCCAAAATCACCTTATATTAATCTGTTGGGGGCGCTAGTTACAGTTTCTTTGTATTTCCATTCCAATATTTGTTTATGTTGAACTGCCATTTACAAGACAATACTTATTCTGTATTGACAATACAAGACAATTCTTTCTGTCATGGACTAAAGCATTGTCTCTGTCCATGTAGATTAGACATGAACTTATTGACTGCTCTGTGTTACACATTTAATTATTTGTATTACTATCATGAAATTATACTTGCCAATTGATTTCTATTTGTATTATTGTTTTTAAAAAATTTTAATGCAAATTTATTTACCCCCAGGAATTTGTGGAGGAAATGAAAGAAAGAGAAGAAGATTTGAGTGCTATTATAAAGTCAGCTGATTCATTTAAAGACAGTGCTCAGGTTTGGTCACATTTTGTTTTAGCACCTGGCTAGTTCTAGTTTAATACTAGAGTTTAGTACTGCTGTGATTTAGCATAAGTTAAAATCTAGGGTGAAGTGATAGGTTGCTTGAGTCTCTTGGACTTTGAAAATGTATTTGTATGTGGATGTTAATATTGTAATTTCAGGTTTAATTTAAGGAACAGAAATTAAGGTTAAGGCTATGATAAAACTTTGGTTATGGGTAGGGTTAGTGTTGACATTAGCATGTTATATTAGTTTATAGTTTACTATCAGTGACCTTAGCACCTCATTATCAGAAGCTGGATTATACTCATTTTTCTTTACTTTTCTTATCTTAGGAAGTGGAAAAAGATGTAGATAGCTTCAGGAAACGTATGGAGATCTTACCCACAATTCCAGAGGAAGGCGAGACAGGTGTTCTTGACGAAGAGCTTGAATCTATTGAAGCCAAATTTAAAGATATCTCCAAGGAGTGCTCCAAACATCTGGAGCGTTTAGGCTCGTTAGCCAAACTTAAGAAAAATTTTGACGACCTACATGAAAAGTAATTATGTTACTCAAAAGACAAGTATCTTGTGATTTTGATTCCATTTCTTTTTGACTTAGTTAATCTTATATCTTAAAATAATATTTTCCTGTTATAACTAGTTAAAGTTGTGTTATTTAAAACTTTTGCAACTTCAGTTATGTGTATTTAAAAACAAAATCACTCATGAAATAAAATCCTTTTTTGTTTTATGAATGCTGTTAGTCACAGATTGAATGTGTTGTCTGTCCTCAGATTGTCTGTCAGTCACAGATTGAATGTGTTGTCTGTCCTCAGATTGTCTGTCAGCTTCCCAGCCTTACAGGAGAAGCTCAACAGCCTGGTTGATGAGGACTTTGGCCTTGACCCACAAAAAGCCAACCAGGACAGAGAGAACCTGAGGAACATCAAGGCTGATCTGATAAGCCAGGAGAGGAAACTGAAAGGTAGTTTTGATGTTTTGATAAACATATGTGAAGATGAACCAAATGTTTGCTGATTGTGTTTAAAATATTACCTGGAATATTTAAATTTATTTCATTATTGGATTGATCTAAAAATATTTGACTAAAATAAAGCTTGAAGTTTTAATTTTGTTAAAATTGTAAGCTTGACATAAGTATCTAGGTTTAAGTGGTTCTTTTTGGTTGACTTGTAAGTCTTTTTAGCATGGCTGGTATCGTTGATAGTGATATTTCAATTCAGCTAAGATTAGGGCCAGAGCTTGACTTTTGTCTTAAAACTTGCGTTTGGCTTAAGGATAGTGTTTGTATAGTTTATAAGTTGTTTAGTTTATGTATAGTTTTTATAAGGTTAAGTTTAGATTAGCATTAGGTTCTAGGTTTATCTATCACTATTAGCGTCTTTTAGGGTTCGGCGTGGTCGAGTCGGTAAAGCTCATAATTGCTAAACCGAAAAGTCTCGAGTTCGAACCCTCGGGCAGATGAGGCTCGTTAGCTGGGGACAGCCACTCTTCTAGGAGAGACAACTCCAAAATCAAACAACTGCTGCCTTGTAGTTTGTTCTTGGTTGGACAAAGGCTATGGAAGCAAATCCAAAAAGAAAAGCAGGCTGAAATCCGAGTCAATGGCCTCAATGGCGCATAACCAGTTGACACGTAACGCTTAATTGTGTTGGAGGCGTGGTCGAGTCGGCAAAAAGCTCATGGTTGATAAATTCGAACAAAGTCTCGAGTTCAAACCCACTGGCAGATAAATCTCGATCCCCTTCAACACTAATAATTAAGAACGAAGAAGAAGAAGAAGAAGAGTCTTTTATTTAAGGTAATGGGTCGGGTTGGGGCTAATATACTTTTGTTGGGGTTTTCTATTTAATGGTTAAGGTTAAATTTGAGGCTTATATAAGGTAATTATTTATTTAAGTTTAGGATTAGGTTTGAGGCAATGGGATCATTGTTGGAGATACTGCCTGTAGGTATTACAAGTCAGCTTTTGCAGAAACGGTTTCAATTTTAATTAACTGTGGATGTTCTGACCAACAGATTTAACAGTGGCAGGGGAGAGGCTGGTTGCTGGACTGCTGGAGGCTGGCATGGAAGAAGAGGCTGAGCTGGTCAACCAGATGATTGACCAGAAGCGGGATGAGCACCAGTACGTGATGGACGACATCCTGGAGCACGAGCAGCTGCTGGACGCAGCAGTGGCTGAACAGCAGAATATGATCAGTAAGTGTTTTGTTGTGGTGAGAGTTTATTTTAAAAGTTTGGTTAGAGTATCTTCCCTTGAGATAAAAATAGAATAGTTTCTAGTGATTAAAATAGAGGGAATTTTGCTTCCAATTAGTGTTACTTAATCTTTAAACATAGTCCATTTCTTTATTTGGCATAAATTGTGGCTTTAGTAAAAACAAAAAATAGTAGGCTATTGAGAAGCCCTTGTACAAATATTTCCATGTATTTAAATTTAAGAAAATACTTTTCCATTATGGTGTTAAATAACATTCTCAGTCTTTTGACTTAATCATAGTACATTAATCATACCACCCCAATACTAAACAAAGTTATTCTTTAATCACATTAAGATGTTAAACAATCCAAATGTGAAATATTTTTGCAATGATTAATGCTTACATTTTTTTTTCAAAATCTATTTAGTTCTTTGTAGTGTTAGGTTTTATTTGTATTAGTTTATTAATCAGATAAAAGAGATGAATAAATTTCCATTTTTAAAAATTGCGATTGAATTCCTCCCCCGCCCAGGTCATCTGGATGACATAGAGATGAGCTTAAGAGAAGTGGAGAGTGAGCTGGACAGTAGTGATGACATCAGCATGGACAAGGAGAAGCTGGCCCAGCAGATCCAGGAGCAGAGGCTGCTCAATGCCAAGATCTCCAGCCACAGGACTATGTTAGAGAGGTGAGGGCTCAACTGCATGGTGGTGCAGTTTTGGTTCTTTGGGTTCTTGGTGGTTCCTTGGTGGTCTAGTAGGTGTCTGTTGGCCCCTTGTGGGTGCATTGTTGGTTCCTTGTTAGTTCCTTGTTGTGTTTAGTTGTTCTTTGGTGGTGCGTTGTTGGCCCCTTGTAGGTCTTGGTGGTTCCTTTTTGTTGCCTTGTTGGTTTATGTTATGCCTTGTTGGTTCTTCCTATTGAACTTTGCATTGGACATAAAAGTGTATTGGCCTCATATATTATATTGTTATCCTTAGAGTTCATTTTATACCTACATTTAAGACTGTAATGTTTATGTCTGAATAATCAAGTGAAGTTTATAGATATGTAGCTTATAAAACCTTTGGTGGAGATGTTAATTTTAATAAATTTCAGAAGATTTAATTATAATTATATATACAAACTGTATTGTGTAAAAGCACAGTGCTGCTTCCATTCTTTGACTTTCTGGTGACAATTGACCCCCCCCCCCCCCCACTCTGGTGACAAAGTTGACCCCTACTGTAACAAAATTAACCCTTACTGTAACAAAATTAACCCTTACTGTAACAAAATTAACCACTACTTTAACAAAATTACCCCCCCCTACTGTAACAAAATTAACCCCCTACTGTAGCAAAATTACCCCCCCCCCCCCTACTGTAACAAAATTGACCCCTACTGTAACAAAATTAACCCCCGCTGTAACAAAATTAACCCCCGCTGTTTCCTTCAGGCTGTGTCTGGACGTTGAGGGCAGCAGTGATGAGAAACTGAAGGACCTGATGCAGCAGGCCGAGACCCTGCAGGCCATAGCTGACCAGAGGACCCAGGAGCTGGAGGACGTCCTGGCCAACATTGCCGAGTTTGAGGCCAAGTCCTCTGAGCTGGATGGGTGGCTCATGGAGGCCAAGCAGGTGTTGAACCCTAAAGCTGGAGCCCCAAAACTCACTAGGACTAAGGTAAGAGGGTTCATGGAGGCCAAGCAAGTGTTGAACCCTAAAGCTGGAGCCCCAAAACTCACTAGAACTAAGGTAAGAGGGTGGAGCCCCAAAACTCACTAGGACTAAGGTAAGAGGGTTCATGGAGGCCAAACAGGTGTTGAACCCTAAAGCCGGAGCCCCAAAACTCACTAGAACTAAGGTAAGAGGGTTCATGGAGGCCAAGCAAGTGTTGAACCCTAAAGCTGGAGCCCCAAAACTCACTAGGACTATGGTAAGAGGGTTCATGGAGGCCAAGCTAGTGTTGAACCGTAAAGCTGGAGTCCCAAAACTCACTAGGACTATGGTAAGAGGGTTCATGGAGGCCAAGCAAGTGTTGAACCCTAAAGCTGGAGCCCCAAAACTCACTAGGACTAAGGTAAGAGGGTTCATGGAAGCCAAACAGGTGTTGAACCCTAAAGCCGGAGCCCCAAAACTCACTAGAACTAAGGTAAGAGGGTTCATGGAGGCCAAGCTAGTGTTGAACCCTATAGCTGGAGCCCCAAACTCACTAGGACTATGGTAAGAGGGTTCATGGAGGCCAAGCAGGTGTTGAACCCTAAAGCTGGAGCCCCAAACTCACTAGAACTAAAATAAGGGGGCTGGACTGTCTCAACTGATTTTTACTTTTAACTCTTTACAAATTAACTTTAGATGTGAATGAAAATTTTAGATTTTAATATTCTTACCTTAAACTTTTAAAGCATTATGTTCCATGGTCTATTAAAGTCTATATTATAGTCAGAAACTGTGAACAGCCTATATTATGGTCCAAAACTTTGTGTTCCATGGTCCAGTAAACTATATTATGGTCCAAAGTTGTAGGATTTGTATTGAGATGTGGTCAATCATTGAATCACCAGGTGGACAGTCTACACGAGGCCAAACAGGAGAAGGCAGCTGACCTGGATGTCCTGAGAGAAATGTGTGAGAAACTGCTAGACCAGAAGGGGGTGAAGGACAAGTACGCGGTCAAGGAAACCCTAGCAGACGTGGAGAGTAAATGGAATGACATGACTGATCTTTTGGTGCAGAATATGTCACTGGAGGTGGGGAATGTTTTTTTTCCCATTGTTTCTTTGGGTTCTTGGCTAATTTTAATAATATTCAGAAGATTTAAATATAAATTTTACCATTAACGTTGACCATCCACTTATTGAAATGTCATTTAGTATTTACTGTTTGATCTGTTAAAATTAGTCATTGTAGATATACAGTTGAATCATAATTAAAATAATTGATAGTATATTTACAGTTGAAATATAATTAAGATAATTCATTGAATATACAGTTGCAACATCATTTAATGAATTAAGTGAATATGGTTGGTTAAAACAAAAGATAATTAAAATTAAAGAATATTGACAGTCTTTTTTTTATATTACAACTTTTTTACTTTACCACACCAAAATTACTCACTGGAATCAATTGTGTCAAGCTTAAAAAGTAGCAGCATAGGTGAATAGCTAGGATAGGCTGATACTTGTAGTTTTGGTGGTCAAATTTTGATATGAAAATATTTTTTCTTCACTTCAGGCTTTGTCTGAGATAGATGGGATGCTAAAATACTTGGACAAGGCGGAGAATGAGATCAACACAGCTGAGCCAATCAGCATAGACCCAGAGACACTAGGGGTGCAGCTCAGGGAACACAAGGTGAGAATTCACTAACAAATTATGGTTATATCAATTTTTAAAAATTGAAGCGATAAAAATAATCAGGTTAATTATCCTGTCGTTTCTGTAATTTGCTGAATTTGTTTAGACACAAGGGCTGAAAACAATTTTGTAATTATTTCATAAAACAATGCAAGAAAAAACTTTTTAATTTTTTGTAGCTTAAATGGTATCAGATATGTTTCAATACGTAACTAATAACGATATTTCTTATTTTCTTAAATAAAGAAATTTGGCAATATATCTTTAATTTTATTTATTATGCTTAAATTTTTGGAAGTGTGGGTACACCCATAGATTAGTATTTATAAATAGCTTCCCTTCACATGTAACTTTTTGAAAAAGGAGTTTGTTTCTCATGAAACAAAGATTTAAATTTTACATAAAGAATTAACAGAATGTATTATTTTTCAACTCCCCTAGACATTTGATGAAGACCTGAAGAGTAAAAGAAATGCAGTGAAAGAAATCATCGACAAGTGCACCCACATGCTGCGGGAGACGGCTAACTCCCACACGGATGAGATCAAGTCCAAACTGGACAGCATCACCAACCAAGCAGACGTTGTATGCCAGCTGAGCGCTGAACGTCTTCAGCAGCTGGAGGCGGCGCTGCCCCTGGCCACGCACTACGGGGAGAACCAGACGGAGGTCTCTGCCTGGATGGAGGAGATGGAGGCAGAGATGAATGCCCAGGGCGACCCGGGGCAGAACCTGGAGCAAGTTAAAAAACAGCATGATAATCTCAAGGTAAGACTGGGGTCTAGTGGTAGAGCTCCAGACTGCTAACCCAAAAGTCTCAAGTTCAAATTCAGGTTCAAGTCTATAGAACGACTCTGAGTTAGGGAAAGTAAAAGCGGCTGGTCATAGTTTTGACCACATTATCCCTTCATATGCTGAGGTCACAGAAACAGGTGAAGGCTACTACACTTGCCTCATAGACCATCATGTTTGAAGGGAAACTTTATTCTACATAATAAAATAGGAAAGTTTATGTTCATTGAATCAAATTGTAAAGCTTGTAATGCTCTAAGTATTTAATTTGCTACATAAATGTCTACCTTGATGTAGCACTTGAAACTAGAGGCGCCAGTATTAGATTGGCTCAAAAAATATCTGTCTCTATAATTAACACACTGGGTAGGAAAATGTTGTAAAAAAATTGTTTAGTTTTTTTATTTAGTTTATTTTACTGATTGTCAATGTAAATTGTTGTACACATACTTTAATATCTTTAGTGTTGTGCAAACAGTTAAATGTTTTTTTGTTATATTCACAGACAACACAGCAGATAATCGAAGACCACAAGCTATTTATAGACGACCTAAATTCCACTGGACTGGAACTGATGGACGTGTGTGCTGAAAGTGATGCAGTGGACATCCAGAACAAGCTACTGGACATCAACAAACGCTATGAAGGACTCAAGTCTACTGCCAGAGGAAAGGCCAGAGATCTGGTGGAAGCTAAGAGGAAGTTTACTCAAGAGGTCATTAAAAAATTGTTCTTATTTTATATCTGACAAATCTGGATAATTTTAAAAACTTATCTATTTAAAGGATAAACATTTAAATTTAAAAAAAACTTATGTTGATTTTTTTCTAACCAGAGATATTTTTTTTAACCATATTATCATTTAAATTTTAAATAAGTTCTTATTTGGTGAAGGATAAAATGCTTGAGAGAAAAGTATTGTTAGTAAACATCAAACCTATGCCTATGACCCACTGTTATGAATAAAATTAACTTAGCTGTACAGAAAACAACGAGCTAACTCGAAGGAGCCAGTTGGGTTTGATTTGAATGAAATTTTGGCTAAGTATTCTTAGACCTTGTGTTTTCTAACTCTGAATCCACAGGCATCGGATACACTGGATCAACTTCTGGATGATCTGGATGGTCTCCACAGCACAGTGGCCAATGCTGACCCCATCCCTGCCTCGCCAGATAAACTGAAGAATGAGATTGATGAAAACAAGGTAAGAGTTTCTTTATTCTCTGTTAGATTGATTAAAACAAGGTAAAACAATAGTTTATGAGCCCACTGTAACTTTTTGATAAGTTACAAACATTGATAACTTTTATATAAATCAAGATTATCTATTCATCATTGATGTAGTTGCTAACTAGATTAAAATACTGAATGGTAACTATACAACAAGCATGTTTTACAAAAGATGATATTTTTCTATTTATAAATTGAACCAAATCTTACATTCAAGTTAAAAGTAAGATCACTTTTAATTTTAAAAACATGATTTGTACTGTAGCTTTTATCATGATTGTTTGTGTTTAACGTACATTAACATTTACATAACAATGTGAAATCTTTAACCAGGCTGTCCTTGAAGACTTAGAAAACCAAAAGCAGGCCATAGCTAAAGCTGAAGAGCTGGCCAAAAATCCTAAGGCTCATGGAGTTGAAGACCCAGCAGATGGTAAGTTGCCTGCCCACATTTAAAACTTCCAATCTAATTTTTATTCAAGTTTTATTTCATTTTAGTAATATAAAAATTTTTAAAGATACAAGTTAAATTGAAAATTTTTTTTTTTAACTATTTTTCAGTTAAAATTGCATTAAACACTTAAAATTCTAATTTCTGATCTGAAAACTATCACTGTGTACAAATAAATTTTTAATAATTTCTTTTAGATTTACACAATAATTATCTTTTCTAAAAAATAACTCACAACACCAATCCGATTCATCTTTTTAATAAACTGAAGTGTTTGTTTATGTTGTGTGCAGGTGAGGAGATCAAGCAGAAGCACAAACAGATCTGTGACATGTCTAAGGAGATCAGGCTCCAAGCTGAGGCTCGGGACAAGTCCCTCAAAACCGCCCTCAAGCTGTCGGAGAAGTTTTACGACCTGTCGTCTGATGTCATGTCGGGCATGCGTGACCTTAAAGACAGCATGTACAACCAGGAGCCGCCGGGTATTGACCCTGATGCTATCAAGGAGCAGCAGGCAGAGCTGGCTGTAAGTGCTTGTGTTTACTCAAAAAAAAATGTATTACCAGGTTTTTATTGCAACTAGTTTTTATATTACAAGATTTTTATTACAAATATTGTTTTTATTACAAGAAGTTTTACACCTAGTTTTTTGAGTACAAGAAAGTTTTTTAAAAGTTCTTTCTCACAAGGTTAAAAAATTCTATAGATCTATATACTAAATAATTATTGTTAAGTTTTACAGAAGACACAGATGGTAGGATAGATACTTGTTTCCTGTTTTTCATATAGTTATAGGGCATTTTAATAATAAATGTGGCTCTTTTCATATTATTTGTTATGCAAAAAATATACATTAAGGTGATTTTTGTATTTTCAACTATTTATATGGATAGTCCAATTATAATGTTAAAAAATTAAATAAAACTTAAATGTAGAGCAGAAATTTACATACAGTGGATCTTAACTGAAAAAAGATTTAATGACCTTTGTTCTGAGTCATTATTTCTAATCTCACTACTGAGTGATAAATCATAACAAAAAATTGACTAGCTTAATTGTTTTTCATTTTAAATAATTCTTTAGTATTTGAGTTAAATGAAAATGATACTTTTATTAGTTTCAAAATGTTCTAGTTTATAACCAAATGTGCAACCAAATTTATTAGTTTCAAGATGTAGTTTTATAACCAAAGGTGCCACCAAATAGTTTCAAGATGTTGTAGTTTTATAAACAAATGTGCCACCAAATAGTTTCAAGATGTTCTAGTTTATAACAAAATGTGCAACCAAATTTATTAGTTTCAAGATATAGTTTTATAACCAAAGGTGCCACCAAATAGTTTCAAGATGTTGTAGTTTTATAACCAAATGTGCCACCAAATAGTTTTAAGATGTTCTAGTTCTCTAAACAAATGTGCCACCAAATATATTAGGTTCAAGATGTTCTAGTTCTCTAACCAAATGTGCCACCAAATTTATTAGTTTCAAGATGTTCTAGTTCTCTAAACAAATGTGCCACCAAATGTTGCTCAGGGTCTGAAGAAAGAGCTGGAGAAGGCCAGAGAACTGGTGGGGGAGTGTCGCCAGCTGGGTGGGGAGCTGGGTAAGGTGTGTGGGGACCCTGGCTCCATAGAGATCATGAAGTGTCTGGAGGACCTAGCCCACATGACCGACGACGTCAACGACACAATCAGGGACAGGGGCGATGAGCTGAGGAAGGCGTATCAGCATGCTGACCAGTTTAAGAAGCTTTATGAGGTCAGTAGAGTTCACAGATAAATTAGTTTGCGTTTGTTTACTTTTTTGTTTATGTCATGTTGAGTTATAGTTTTGTTAAAATTTTGTGTTTGTTTTTTTAAAAATCATTTTGTTTTTATTGTTCAAGTACTATCTCACCCTTATAAACCTAGTCAGTGCACACAGTTAAAGCTTATCAATCAAATTGGGGGCTTGGCTTTTACATTATATAATTTTTATAAATTTGTATTTAGTCAATGTTTATTAAAAAAAAAAACAATTATGTTTCAGATGTGTATGTGAAAATGTGTCTTTTCTTCTTCTTTTACTCTTAATTTTAATGCTGGAGGGATTCCCTCCAACAAAATTAAGTATTTCATGTCAACGTGTTAAGCGGGCCTGAATAGGCTGTTGACTCTAATTTCAGCCTGTTGTTGCTATTTATCATGTCTTATATTATTTTTTGGGAAATAAATTTATACTGAAAACTCTTTGCAGTATATAATGACAGGTTCCAATATTTTTAAAATTTCATGTTTAAAAAGTCAGTTTTATAAATCTACCTTCATTCTGCCTAAAGAAAGCTCATTATGCAAAATATGTCTTAGTTCTAGTGAGGGAAATTCTGTTGTAAATTTTAAAACAAAAACATTGCTATTTAGCTGATATTATGTTTTTCAATAGAAAAGTTGTTTCTTATTAATATCCATAAATAATTGCTTTTGTTCCCATCTTCACCTTGTTCAAGATTTCTGTAAAACATTGACCGCAGTATAAAACTGTATCTGTCCAAATTTAGTAAAGGGTAATAACTCCTTATTTCATTCCAAATTTTTAGAAATGTTTATCTAAATCTACACCATTGATAAACCAGTCTGTATAAATTCTTGAAATTTTCCACTCTTTTGAAAAGCGTCTTAACTTACTACTTGCATTATATTGGAAATGGTTGCTTATTTTTTAACAGAATTGTAAAAACATGAAGGAGGTAAGGAAGGGAGGCTACTTGATATTTAAATTGTCAGTAAAATTTGAAACAAAAGTCCTTAGTTATTTTGTCTCAGTTTAATTTATGTATAAAAATATGTTAATTAGAAAACAAAATCAGGTTAAGGTATATCAATAGATTTAGTTTAGCAATTTAAAAGTGAGCTAGTGGAATTTTTACCAACAATTATAATCTTTATAACTTAAAAATTCAAACTATTAAGTGTTACATTTGATTTTGATTTATAGTGCACTATTCGTTTTTATATGTTTTTTCTTAAATGACATCAGTATCAAAATAAATAACAAGGACTTTTGTGTTTGTTTTTAAATATATATTTTTCTTGTGTAAATTATGCGGTGTACATTTTTAAAAAAAAGAACATTTAAAACCATGTGCAGGATGTTGAAGCACTTAGGGAATCTGTATTCATTGGATTCATTAAAGTACATTTCTCTTAATTATATTTAAACTTAGAGAATGTCATTTCATCTATCATATTTTATTTAAAGAATTTTTTTTGGTTTCTTGTGTAACATATGCGAATGCACTTTTTAATTTTGTGTGTGATCTGTTATGTTTGCTTTATTCATACTTGCCTGAGTCATATTTACTGCTGTGAGATATTACAAGCCTCTCACTTTTGATACTCATTCTGTTGTGTGATGTGACAGTTTATCTGGCATTGAGTTTTGTTGTTTTTATATTGAACATATTTATTCTGATATCTTAAAAGCATTTTGTTTGTTGTGGTTTTTATTGTTTTGTTTTTTTGAAACCTTATTGGCTATAAGAGAAGCTTTCTTATTAAAAATATTGATGCTGATATTCACACAGGATGGCACTGAACTATTACAGGTAGATGATTTAGGCTGGTAAAAATTTGATCAAGTAGAATAGACATTAGTCACTTCTATAATCTAAACTCTGTTACCTCCTGATGATGGTTGTTCTGAAAGTCCATATAGTTTTGTAGTCACCTAACTAAAGCAAATAGAAGTAAAAATATTTCCACTTAGACTATACCTTTTCTTTTCAACATAGTGGATAAAATTTAACAAAAATGTTAACCATTGTTTTTTTTTTAAGTTTTTATTTATTTATTTATTTTTTTTTAACAATTATAAAAATAAATTAGCCTTTGGTTTAAAATTAATAATAAAGAAATATTATCTTAGCATATAAGTCAACATACATAAGTCTACACTAGGTACTGTGGACAAATTTTAAAATACTGAACTAATTTTTTTTTAAATAATGTTAGTACCCATTTTTTTCAGTATGACAAATGTAAGATTTCTCTATCCTACTTCATGAGCTATTGTTCTAAATTATATTACGAACAAAAGTGTATTTTCCAGTGTGTGAATTAGAAAGTTTTTCTTTTCTGCTATCTACAAATAATTGTGTTTGAAAAGCTGTTCTACTAACTGCATCTTGACATTTTATTAAAAAAAAATTATGCTTTTGATTTTCTGTCTTGTTACGTAGACTGTGCTTTCAAGAAATCATTTATTTAAAATATCGTTTCTCATCTCATTAATACTTAGCTTTTGAAATAATAATATAAAAATTTTCACCTACTTTAAATATACTTTTTTTTTTCTATTTTCTTTTTAATTTACTTTCTTTAGTAGGTACATTTTTTTAAAAGTGTTTAATCCGTGGTTGTTTGAAATAGTTTTGGTTATTACAATATTCGTTAAGACAACCTCTTCTGTTTTGTTATGGTCAAATTTGTGTACATGTTAAAACAAATAAAGTATGTACTCATAAAAGGCAAACATTATTACATATATTGAAAATATATATTATGATACAACAATTAATATTAAATATGAAATTTGTTTGAAACTTTTGCATAAAATCTAATTTGTTCACATAAATTAAAATTTCTTCTTTCTTATCCAGTCCATCAATACTTGGCTACCCACATCTGAGCACAAGCTTGCCTCAATGAAACCACCATCCACTGACCCCAACACTTTACAACATCAACTGGAAGAGCTGCGGGTTAGTCTCTCTCTTTTTTTTTTTATTTACTTTATATTTTATGGCTTTTTACTTCGTATTTATTAATTGTCATTTTTTGTGTGTGCCAGAAATTGACAATGTAAACATTAGCACTGTTTACTATGAGGTTAGGAGGTGGTGTAGTCATCATCATCATTCCTTTGTGGCCCCTGGGGAGCAAAGGGCTGCAGCCACACATCTCCATCGGAGGTGGTGTAGTAAAGCACATAATCTCTAGACAGAAATTCTTAAGTTCATTTTTTCTGGGCTCATGTCTGTAAGGCTGAAAGTAAACTGGTCTATCCAAGCGGACCAAGAAAACAAATGTACAAAAAAAGCTTGTAAAAAATACCATTTTGGTAGCGCACTTTTGACAGTGAACCATTCTTTGTGGCCCACTGAGTTTGTTGATGATTGTAAAATCCACAAGTGCAAAATGCATCTTTAAGATCAGATGAGTAGACAACTTGAGACAGGGGTAGTAAAGATAGATGGGATTAGTGGTGATCACACAATCCCTTTAAAAAACCAATATAAATTGAAATCTACTTCATCTGCCATATCACCAACTTCATATTTTTTTCACATTGTGGTGATGTAAAATTTTTATTTCTTGTTCTGGTAGTTGTTGATGCGGTATTTTATTTCTGTTTTGGTTGATGGTGATGTGATATTTGTATTTCTTGTTCTAATATATGGTTATGTGATATTTTTTATGTCTTGTTTTTGGTAGTTGTTGATGTGATATTTTTTTTATTTCTTGTTCTGGCAGATGTTCAAGGGTGAGGTCCACCCCCACATCATTGAGATGCAGCAGCTGAACCAGGAGATGGGGGCACTGTGTGATTTGTCGCCTGTTGCTGCGGAATCTCTGCAGAAGCCAGTCAAACAAGTCAACGAGAAGTGGACAGAGCTGCTTAGAGGGTTAACCGAGAGAGAGGTAGACATAGACTATGTTGCTTATTTACAACTCTATTCCTATACAATAAACTCATATTTGTCATTATTTTTAATGAAAAATTAATGAAAATGTTTTAGTAATTTTTTTTTAAAAAGATGATTTCCAATTATTATAATATAATAATGTGATAAAGCTATGCATTTGAATTTTTTTCTTCCTTAGACTAAGCTCACAGATATGCAACTTAAAGTAGGGGAAGTAAATCAAGCAATGGAAGACATAATTACTTCCCTTGACCAAACACAAAATGAGCTAAGTGGTGTAGATGATATTAAAGGGGATCCTAAATTTTTGGAAACACATCTCAGAAAGCTGCAGGTTTGTTCAGACTGCTAGGAATGTAATTAAAATATAATTAAAATTATTGATAAAAAGAGATTAATATTTTTTGAGCTAACTCAAAGGAAGTCACCAGTAATAACTTATTGCAATCTTGTACATATTCTCCAATCACTTATCAGTGAATGTGTTAAACATGTTAAGTCCTCACTTCATCATCATGTGTAAAAGAGTTTTAGAATAAATAAGTGACTCTCCTTAGTTCATATTTCTTTTATGGTAATATTTTCAATATTAATTGTAAGATTAAATTATTTATTTTGTTTGCTAGCTGATGCAAGCAGACATCAGGAACAAAGACAAAACTGCACGTAAACTGACCAAAGCCGTGGATGAGATCCTCCAGCAGACGGGAGCTGACCCCGAGAGCTCGCCACTGAGCCACAAGAGACAGGAGATGAGGGAGAAGATCCGCAGCACCCAGGCCACGGCCAGGGAGAAGGAGAACAAGCTCCAGGACACCATGATACAGGTTGGTGATGACCTTTGATCTGCTGGTAGAGAGGAGTTGGATGGGCTGCTGTTATGGAGAAAGGCTTCTTGGGCTGCTGTGTTCAGGAGAGGTTGGCTGGGCTGTTGTGTTCTAGGATTTATATGGGTGATTTCACCAGGAGTCTGGCAGGGTTACAATATTACCTAAATTTTCTTACCAAACTCCATTGAATGCTGTATTTTAACCTGCGTAATAGTAATTGGCTTCTGATAATCTACTCAGGGAAACGTGGACTTGACAGTTTTTTTTTTAACAAGGGTGGCAGAGGTTTATTGCAGAATGCCTTTCAAAAATCTACTGTCAGGGGCACTATGTTGTTTGTTGCAGGTCATATTCTATGAGGGATAACAAGATTGAACTAAATATAATCAGCCTAGGGATAAAGTAATTGGGGTCTTTAGATAATTTCAGCTAGAGGCCTTCTTCAAGCTCCTATTTTGATTCGTTTTGAATTTTTTTTTTTTCCATCTTCTTTATAAATACCTTTGTTTTCAACAGAACTAATAATCCTATAAAATTCTTCTTCATAATTTAAATAGCTAAGACTGTGTTTAAAATAAAGAGATTCATCACTCTTAAAAATGAATGTCTTTATCTTAAGGTGAAAAAGTTCCTGAATGAGGTGGATAATTTTAATAGCTAGTATTTTGATTAAAATAATGCATTATGATTCATCGCTTAGTAAAATGAATGTCTTTATCTCTAGGTGAAAAAGTTCCTGAATGAGGTGGATAATTTTAATAGCTAGTATTTTGATTAAAATAATGCATTATGATTCATCGGGCGTAAAAATAAATGCCTTTATCTCTAGTTGAAAAAGTTCCTGGATGAGTTGGGTGATTTAAATAGTTGGGATTGTGATAAAAACAATGCTTATTGATTGATCGCTTGTTAAAATGAATGTCTTTATCTCTAGGTGAAAAAGTTCCTGGGAGAGGTAGATGACCAGCTGGCCAAAGTCAATGAGTTTAGAGCTGAGCTCAAGACCAACCAACCCTACGGTGCCCTGCCTGACTCATCAGAGAAACAATATGCTGATTTTGTGGTATGCTGAGCTTCTACATTGGTTTAATAACAGTTAATATAGTTTTTTGTATGGCTAAAGTTGGGTTTGTTTTTTCCAATTGATTATTTCGTGAATAACTAATATTTCAGATAAACAGATGAGAGCATTTTATTTTATTTCGGTTTCTAATCTGTTCCAAAACTTCTAAACTTCGAAAAAAAAATTCATTTTTAGAAAAAGTGTCAAGACCTTGACGGTCAGGACAAGCAGATAGAAAGCCTGCTGACCACTGGTCAAGAATTGATTGATCAGTGCAAGCCTCAAGATGTCCTTGATGTGGCTGACAGAGTCAAAAGGCTGAAAGAGAGATGGACAGACACCAAGGACAGGGCCAGGAAGAGAAAGGTACTGGACGTACATCTTATGTACTTCTGACTATAAACATATTCATTCATGCACACTAAACTATAAACAAATTCATTCATTCACACTACACTATAAACAAATTCATTCATGCACACCAAACTATAAACTAATTCATTCATGCACACTAAACTATAAACTAATTCATTCATGCACACTAAACTATAAACAAATTCATTCATGCACACTAAACTATAAACAAATTCATCCATGCACACCAAACTATAAACAAATTCATTCATTAACATCAAACTGTAAACAAATTCATTCATACACATCAAACTAAACTAAGTCATGCATGCACTTCAAACTATAAACAAATTCATTATTGCACACCAAACTATTAACAAATTCATTCATGCACATCAAACTCTAAACAAATTCATTCATGCACATCAAACTATAAACTAATTCATTCATGCACACTAAACTATAAACACATTCATTCATGCACACTAAACTATAAACTAATTCCTTCATGCACATCAAAAGCTAAACCAATTCATTCACGCACTTTATAAATGAATTCATTCATACACATCAAACTATATACTAATTCCTTCCTGCACATCAGAGTATAAACTAATTCATTCATTAACATCAAACTAAATACGTATCCATTCATGCATATCAACCTATAAACTAATTCATGCATGTAAAACTATAAACTAATTCATTCATGCACATCAAAACTGTAAACTAATTCATTCTTTCAGGTCATACTATTAACTAATCCATTCATGCGTGTAAAACTATAATCTAGTTCATTATATTTTAAATATTTAATGTGATGTTGAATTTTTTCTGTTTAATGTTGTGTACAGGAAAAGATGGAGGAACATCTGAACAATGTAGGCCAGTTTCACGACACCCTGAAGGTGTTCACTGATTGGCTGAACAGTGCGGAGATCTCTATGAGAAGCTTCAAGTATCCCAGTAAACTTGTGGACACAATCACTCAACAAATTGCTGAGCATAATGTAAGTATGGTGAAAACCATATCATAATCAGGTAGTTTTTATTTTACCTCTATTGCTATCAGGTTTCAGAATTATAGATTCAAGGGCAGTAAGACATACATGTCCTGTTTATATATTAATAACTACGATCTTTGAAAAAAAAATACTATATATTTTATATTTGCAGAAATAATGTACATTATTTTATTACCATAAGTTTTTTAATCATGGTATTTCAATAATATTTCTTACTATGAGTTTTTTTTAAAATGAATAAGACCAAATTTTGAAGATCATAGAGCAAGAAGTATTAAATATAAACTTAAACATTTTGCAAAAAATATTATTTGTATTATTTTTTTTGTTTGATTTAAAATGGACTATGGTACATTTTAAGCATTTGTAATTAAACCACAGAGAAAGTTTGTCTGAAATATTTGGTTTGGTTTTAATAGAAATCTGGCACAAGTACTTTTAGCACATGGTATTTTGATAGCTCCATCATACAAAAATCTAAAGTAAAAATCTGGATTATCATATTAAAAGCTGTTTTTGTGTGTTTGCAAGTAAAACTAAATTTCTGGTTCACTCAGGTCCTGAGGCAGAATCTGGACACACATGCAGAGAAGATGAACCTGCTGGACAGGTCAGGCACCTACCTGAAATACTTCGGACGCAAGCAGGACACTGTGTATGTGAAGAACATGCAGGTGGGGATCAGGCTCAGGTGGAAGAAGCTTTTGAGAAGGGCAGACGAGAGGGGGAGACTACTGGACCAAGCTTATAAAGAAGACAAGCGGGTGAGTTATTTCCCTTGAAAGTTTATGATAGTGCAAATTAGGGGGTAAAAATACTGAAAATGAAAATAATATTAACAAGTATTGAAAAATCGTCAAATAAACACAACTAAACGTAAATTAATGAAATAACCAATCAAAACTTAGAAAATAGACTTGTAGGGATGGAATAAATTATTGGAATAATTTTTTTTGTTTTAACTGACTGAATGATTAGTCCCTTGTGAATAATCCTTAATTGTACACATGTAAACCTGATAATTAAAAAAAAACAATTAAATTTCTTCCATGTTTTAGTCATTTAATGATTGATACACATTTTGTTTTGTTTAGTTTGATGAATCTTGGCACAGCCTTTGTGATTGGCTGGACCAGAGCATGCATGCACTGTCAAAGTTCATGACCCCAGCCAATCAGCCAACCGGGATGAAGCAAGATATTGATGAGCTGAAGGTAAGCTTTAATTCATGCCATTTTAATTGTTTGTACTCTAAAGTCAAGTCTACCATACCAGCATGAATGATCTTTGTTACTGGCCTTTTTGTTTTAAATGTAACATGTGGGTTTTGAGTACATTTGTGGCCCTCCATGATAGCAATTGTCAATTTACATATTGAGCTAAGCTAGAGAAAACAATAACATGGGTTCTAGGATATGAATTTTGGGACTATATTATTCAATCATTTGTAAACATCTTTAAATTTAGTAAACTCATATAGGGACCTGTTTTATGTAAAAATGCAAGTTAGTAAATTAGAAATTTTTTTCAGAATTTCAGTTTGGGTAGACTAAACAGTAGAACTATAACTATGCCTGGACTATTTATCCAATTTTTAACAAGTTCCCTCAATTAAAATCAGTGTTTAAAATTTTTTAATAAAACTAATTTTAAAACCCTAAAGTACCCAACCCATAGTCATATGGAGGGTCACAATTGGGTTATTGTTTCAACTTGTTGATGATTAGATAATCCTGATTCATGAATTTGCCAGCAAAAAGACCTAAACTTTGTTGTTAAAGTTTTAGAAAAAACAATCATAAAATTAAAAAAAATTAAAATAATTAACTCTTTTAAAAAATTTACATATTATAAAAAACACAGTTGATGTGCAGTAAAGTACCTAGGTATTGGTTCAAAATAGGTTTGAATGTTTGTGTTATACCAAGCATGCTCCTCATTGTTTGCTATAAATATACTTGAGTGGATACCATGGTTTAGCCCTTGTAGATTTTGTCTTTTTTCTATTATTGGTATTTTAGTGCATGAATATACTTTTTATCCAGAAAATTGAAACAATAACGGTAAGTAGCTTGCCAAGTTGATTGCTTTTTAGTAAAGATTTCTTTGATTTTCTATTTATTAGAAGTGATTTCTGCCAATTTGTTTTGTCACTGAGGGCTTATGTTTTTTAATAAAACAAACTAAAAAGTCAGTTTGATACTTAAACTTTTTTTTAATATTTTGATCATTAAACAATTTAGTAAATCAAGATCTACATATGATTATTCTATTTCAAGTTATTTTATTTTGCCTTTCATAATTTTTCTTTGCTTTTAAAGCTTTGTTTCTTTGTTTTTGCTTCCATAATTTTTATTTATTTTCCCATATCACAGCCAGTTCTTGTTGTATTTTCTTAACTTTTATCATCACAGTTTTCACTTACTAGTTTTTACTTTTTAAATATATTTTTTAAATAAATGAAAATTTATTTTTAAAAATAAAATAATTAATATTAAAAAAAAACAGTTTCAATTTTTAAAATTTTTGTTATAACATACTTAATTATTAACCCTTTAAAACTTATATTACAAAAATCTGATTTTGACGTATTTTTAACATTATTTAAATTCTAGTATAATATACGAAATTTGAAAGCATCCTTTTTTTCCAGTTCCAATTTATTTAATTTACTGTTAAATACTTTTAAACAATCCTTTATATTTCTTTTCACTGAAAACTTAATTTGCCACCAGCTTTAAACAAAAAAAAAAACTATTAAATTCTGTGGGTGTTTTGCTGCGTTTTGGATTACTTTTTGGCTACTTAAGCGCTATTGTCAGTTATCCTCTGCTTTATTTTGATGTTTTCGGTCCTGCTGGGCCCATGGCTACCAATGCTTCGGCTAGCGAACGTTTCAGTTTACGATTTAACGTTTGAAACGATAACGTTAGCCATAATTACCAACTAAACCGTCATTTACTTTAACGCAAAATCTGTGTAATCTTACAGGCATCTCTTCGGGTAGTCACCGCCCCCCCCCCCCCCCCAACGAAATATAATTCATATAGAATATATAAGTATTACTAGTGTCCCCCGACCCCCGTCCCCGGAAAATTGAGCTCCACCCCCCCCCCCCACCCCACCCCCCACCCCCACCCAGTTGCAAGTGAAAGAAACACTGCGCGAAATTCCAAAGACTATTTTTCTCCGCACGATAGTTGGTCTATCATACAGGAGCTTTGCTTGTTCTTATCGCCAGTCAGGTAATTTATAGCGATTAGGTTATTTTCCTTACGCGGTTATACTAGTCTCGCCAAAATCTGCGGCCAATTAAAATGAGATTAGTCTGTGTAGACTACTTTAATACGCGTTTAGGCTTTTTGAATAGTGTCGGGGCACTATGCATGCTAATAAACTGAAGCGACTGCAGCTCTATGTAGGCTCTGCTGGTCCATTATCGTCAGTTCTCACCAAGACCTTGAGCCTTCATAGTGATGTCTCCCCAAACTCAGCCATCACATACCATCGATCATTATTCAGCTCTTCACGGCTGACAACCCAGATGTCTCGAGTTCGGATCCCGATCTTGAGTCTGTTAGACGTACCTGATTCCACCAAGCTCTGGGTATCAGATTCATGTTAGGGAACCAAAGGCGGCTGACAACCCAGATGTCTCGAGTTCGGATCCCGATCTTGAGTCTGTAGGACGTCCCTGATTCCACCAAGCTCTGATGGGTATCAGATTCATGTTAGGGAACCAAAGGCGGCTGACCACACTATCTCTTATATGCCGAAGTAATTAAAATAGATGAACTCTTAATTCATCTGCCCCATGTGTCTTAGACACAAAAAGACGATGATGGTGATCATTCAGATCTGGTTTTACGGGGGATATCGCGAGTCTGAATTAAGAATCCGGCCTAGGTGCTGAAGTGTCTACTAGGGACAGACATGCCTGGAGCATATAGGGCTGGTAAGTCCAGTTCTACGGCTCAATAAAACCTGCATGAGCCATAGAACTATTTGGTGACCTACTTACCAGCCCTATAGTTGTAGAACAAGTTGAGATTGTGTCATCTTGTCTCCACTAAAGAAAATCGGCTGTGTGAGTAGGGAGTGTCAAACTCGAGCAAAATTTCTGATAAATGTTACGTTTGGCTTAAATAATGGCGCTAAATTCATTGTCTCAATTCTTCTTCTTCGTTCTTAATTTTAGTGTTGGAAGGGATTCCCCTCCAACACAATTAAGTATACGTGTCAACTAATTATGCGCCATTAAGGCCATTGACTCCGATTTCAGCCTGCTTTTCTTTTTGGATTTGCTTCCATAGCCTTTGTCCAACCAAGAACAAACTACAAGGCAGCAGTTGTTTAATTTTGGAGTTGCTAGAAGAGTTGCTGTCCCCAGCTAACGAGCCTCATCCGCCCGAGGGTTTGAACTCGAGACTTTTCGGTTTAGCAACCATGAGCTTTACCGACTCGACCACGCCGACCCCATTGTCTCAATGAAAGAGATGCAGCTGTGGGGCTTTGATCAGGGGATGTCAAAATCGAGCAAAATCTCTAATCAATGGCGCCTAATTTAATAGGTTGCACGGTGCGTTGAAGTGTGTAGCTGAACTGTTTATGTTAGGTTTTATGCGTGTACATGTTCTTATCCGTGCCGGCGCCATGTTATTTAGCTCCCTAGGCAAAACTTCTTAAAATGCCCCCTTTCACACAAATTAATTAATAAAACATGTATAAGAAAATAATTAAAAGTGACATATTGATTTAAACGGTATATGTAGACATCAAAATCAAATTTTACTTGCCTCCTTCGACACAAAAGTTTGTACTAATTCCTTCAATTCCAGTGTGGAAGCGTAATCATATTCTATGAAATTGTTGCTAAGTCCACGAGTCTACTTTGTACTTTACGACATAGCCCCCCCCCCCCCTTTAGCCCCTTAATGCCCGAATTATGTTCCAAGCGTGTAAAAAATTATTTGTGCTGATTTTCTCTCATCATACTGACACTGAATTTGAGTTATATAGTTGTTTTTGAATTTTGACTTATTTTTAATGATAATTACGGTATGTCGCGAAAACGCGACATCAGGCACTTATGGACCAAATAGTAATTTATTATTTTTTTAGTCCGGGTCATTTTAACATTTTTACTGTCACATGTTTCTCTAAATATCCATGCACAAACAATAAAATATCACAAACTGAAGATACGGACATGCAAGGAGATGTAGAATCACTTGCAAAACTCATGAAAACTATATTTTATTAGCTCAGGCATAGAGTTACATAACTCTGCTGCACCTGCTCACTGACTAACTCTTATGAATAGGTATTTTGATGTCTTGCTGTTGTAATTCTACTACACTACAGTAATACACTACATATGGAAGGACTACCTTCAATGTGTAGAGCCTTAGTTGTCCCCGGTTACGTAATTTTCGTGAACTCTTATTCCAGGTCAACTAATAAAGACGCATATTTCTCATTTGACCTATATTTGCTATACACACAAAGCACGTGAACAAATACTGTCCTAAATGACAGTGTTCAGCCATTGTATATTCGTCCATGCTCAATGCAGCTGCTGTGGGTACTTAGTGTTACTGCTGTGGGTACTCAGTGCCACCGGTGTGGGTACTCACTGCTATTGTTGATGGTACTCTATGTTTCCAATTCGTGCTACGGCTATTGTTCTCGACTGATTCTGATATTGATTACCAATGACAGTGCTGTAGCTACATATTGCCACTGCTTTAGGTACTCAGTGCTAAAACAGTGGGTACTGAGTGTTGAAGCCATGTGTACTGAGTGCTGAAGCTGTGGGTACTCACTGTTGAAGCTGTGGGTACTCAGTGTTACTGCAGTCGGTTCTTGGTGTCACTGCTGTGGGTACTCAGCGCTGGAGCTGTTGGTAATCGATAACGTTGATATAGGTACTCAGCCTTAGCAGTGGGTACTCAGTAGCACTGCTGTGAGTGCTTATTGCTCAAACTGTGGTTGCTCAGTGTCACTGATGTTGGTACTCAGTGCTGAAGATGTGGGTACTCAATAACACTGCTGTAGGTACTAAATGCCAGTATAATGCCACTAATGTGGTTATTCAATAGCACTGCAAAGGGTATGTGTGTCAGCACTCAACCTTACTGTATTTATTACGAGGTGTAGGTCTATGCTCAATGTAATTATTGTCAAGGTCACTGTGAAGACCTTTATTTGGTGGTATCCATGATAGTGGTCCACCACCTCACTTCCTGTTGTCTATTATGTTTTTTTATGTTCTCCTAATATTATACAATACTATTTCAAAGCTAAATAAGTTACATTGTAACCAGCAGCATGATCACATTATTCAAGCATCGCTCTCTCTCCATATGCCAATGTCAATGAAACAGGTGAACTCTACTTCACCTACCACATGGACCGTAACGTTCTAAAGTGCACTTTTATATATAGGCGAAGACTATATTGTAAATCCTTTACTTATTTGTAATCATACTTGAATGAATGACAGCTTGGCGATGCATCGTATTTCGTTATACCTGCTTGTCACCCAAGTTCCATTTGATGTCTTATTGCCGGATGTCGCGAAAACGCGACAAACCGTAATTAGCAGATAACTTCCAAAATTATTCTCATATGTGATTTATATTGTTTATATACATAAAAGAATGAATAATAAAGCTATTAGTATTTTTTGTAGCAAAAACGGATCACCTATTTAGTAATAATAATCAATGTAAGTAGGCTGAATTCACGAAGTCAAAAAAATTACGATGCGCGTGAGTCAAGAGAGTGTGACGTCATAAATTTCGACTTGACAACGTGACCGATGGTACCGATACAACCGTCTGGATGTACCCAATACACAACGACCGGCAGCAGTAGGATAAATGTACCTATGCGCAAATGCTATGCGCTAAATCGGTATGTCGCGAAAACGCGACTGTCGGCGTTAAGGGGTTAGAAAATTTTAAGTGCTTCCCGCTCCCGTGAGAAAAAAGTCTGGGAAAAAAAAAACACTTGAAAAAAAGTTCTTGTAGTGTTGGGCTCTCTGCAGTCCTCCCAAGGT